ACGGCATTGTTGAGGTATTCTTGCATTTTCTGATATAACTTATTTAATCGTGCCACAGATTTTTTTACATTCAGTATGGTTTTGATATTGTCAGAATATAATTTTTGACTGTGTGTGTGTGACTCATGAAAGTTTGTGAAACTGCACAGAAAAACGCAGTTAGTCGTGTTGCTAGTATTAACTTGGTTTTGTTGTCTTGATCCTTGCGTTCAGACCAAAATACTTATATATATACAAACACAGTGATCGATTTACACATATCAAAGTGTTGATTTGGTCGTAACGTGAAACATTATCAATCTACGTTGTAGAACACGATTTAAGTAAACACACATATTTTCAGTAAATTCTCATCAGGCTTTACATTTACATAGTGAAATGTTAGTCATAGGCATTGGAATTAATGTGGTTAATAAAATATAGGATCAGAGTTCAGGGATGTGAATTAATGGATAACAGTCTAGGTGATCGTAATAATTTTTTTTTATTCCTTCACGTTCCCAGTGGAACATAGGGCTTCAAGCCAGAGGCTTGAAGTTTCTGTAGCAGTGTTTATTTTTACAGGATGTGGTTGCTAGCCTCATACCTAACCTTTCCTCCTTACCAGTTTCATTACTGGCTTAGCGAGGTAAAGGAGTGCATCGGCCGGGGATCGAACCCCGGACCATGTGCATGGTCGGCGAGCGTCCTAACCGCTGTGCCACCAACGCACGTAATAATAATAAGGATAAATTCATTCAAGTGTTTATATAATCCAGGCACCGGTGAGTGTATAGGTAGAATGTGCATACTAGTAGGGGTAGAAGGGAAAATAATATTTACAGTTACCCAGTGTCACTGAGAGAGATACCTATTTTAGGTGGGGGGCTAAGGCCAAGGGAAGGAGACAGATTGAAAAAAACTTTTATGATCACAGAGGCTGTGCTGAAAAATCTTTATGGAAACTGCCTCAACTATGCTTAACAACCGAAGACCTACCGACCTAGGGAGTTGAGGTGGCACATTGTATAGAATTGTAAAAGCTGAATTTTTGTCAATCTTGTACTCCATATCCACTAGCTGTGCCAGTATGGAACTTCTGATTGACCGTAAGACTCCTCTACCTAACCACTTTGGACAATGCTCCAAAAGGCGATGGTGGGCTTGCCGAGTCGTTCTACCTATGTAACTGTCTCCACATGAACAGTCAGATTTATAAATGCACATTCAAGTGGCCAGACTCGGTAGCTTATCCTTCACCTGCTTTGGAATTACACAACAAGTGACGAATTTTAAGCACAGTATTGCGGCAAAGAATGTTTAGCTATTATTTTTCGAAGTTTCGATGCCAGTAATTCAGTTGCTGCTTCTTCTTCTTTAAACTACATTGTATCAAAATGGATAGAAATGAAGATTGACACATACGACAACAGTATTTCTTACTTAAACATGATTCAGTGTTTCCTTCTTCTTACTTTTCAAAACACCTGACATTTGTGTTCCAGTCATTTAACTACTGGCCAATAAGGAAAATAATAATTTGTTTAGAAAAACTGAAGGTGATTTTTTCATAATAATCAAACTCATAAACATGAACAACTTCCTTCGCTTCGTCACATTGGCATGGATAATTAACTTCCGTTAATTTATGTAAGAATATTCATAAATAATCTATCATATTTTGATTTACTTATGAATTAATATAAGTATGAAGCCCGTAAAAGACTAAAGATATTAAACAGCACCTCCTTATATCTTAATTATGAATTCACCTCAAATATTATATAAATCAGTGCATATTTATCTCTCCATTCTGACAGATATATAATCAGACTTTGTAATGAACCAGTCAGTGAAATTCAGGAAGCACTGAAAAGTTGTTTCGTTTTAGTTTGAGACTCTTCAGCACTGTTCATCCACCACCCCACCAGAGACCAAACCTAGAACTTTCAGATTACTAGGCGAATCCTCTCACCACTCTGTAACTGAAGAATTCCAACTTCTTGTAATTTGTGATACAGTGCCGCGCCATCCATTGTCCCCAGTGAAGGTCTCCCTTCACACTTGAGTTCATGGACCCTACTGATCACTGTATCTCATTAGAACTCTAGGAAGTCCATCCCGTAGTCAGTTACAAATGAGCAATGGATTCATTTTCAACAGTTGAATGCTACATGGTTTTTAATGTTTCTCTAACTGACATTATCTCGTTACGAATTCTATACTGATATCAGTCAAATGCCAATAATCCAAATAACTCTGCCTTATTATATTCCTGTGTTGAAAAATCTAGTTTTCACTACAGAGTATGTATATTTTAAACAGTAATCAATAAGTATGTAACTCATTAGAAGAAATATCATATTCATCATGTGAATAGTTTCTGTGTATCTTGACATAAACCTTTTTTAATGCATTGCTTATGAAATGTTAAAAATGGACACAAAAGCAAAAGATATTTTTGATTAGTATAGTGTAAATTCATAATTAAATGTATACAGGGTTTTGATGTTTTGGGTGACATTCAAGAGTATTCTGTCCTTATTTTATTCGAGTTTAACAAATATTATTATGCACAATTAGGTTTTATTCTTCAGTATTAATCAGAAAGTGATAGTTTGAATATCTAAGCTTTCCTTAAAAGGCTTAGGTTTTTTAATAGATATCAAAAATATCATTATATAGGCGTAGTCATTAACTTTCAAGCAATCGATGAAGTTATCAGACAGTTAGCCTTAATTTCTTTTTGGTTGTTTTTAGGCTACTCATAAGTAGTGTAAAACTAAACACATCTGTATTATTTGACAGTCTCAATGAGATCCACCCTAACGTTAAATTCACTATTCAATAAGAATATAACGATGATTTCAGTTTCCTGGATCTTAAAGAAGAAAAAACGATGATACGATCGAAAAGTCAATCTATAGAAAAGAAACCTGAACTGAATATCTTCACTATAACAGCTTTTGTCCTATTGGTCATAGGTATGGATTAGTGAGGACAGTGTAAGACAGAGTCAGGAAGCTCCGCTCACCCAACAAGTTGAAAGAAGAACTAGGCTTTGTTGAGAAAGCCTAAGAGGGAATGGGTATCCAAAAGTAAAGTAAAGAAAAGGACGAGAAAATGAAATACCCCACTGTTGAAGAAAAGTGTTTATTTTTCTCCCATTCAAAGGGGAAACAATGTCACAAAAGATTGACATGATGATGAAAGGAACAATAAAAAGGTGCTTCCTGTAGCTAGGCTGGTAACACTATACAGCAGCACATGTTCAGTAAGCCAATCTTAGCTGGATAAGTACCCTACTGGTGTCGCTTCCAACTGCGTTTACAAATTTACGCGCATTTGTGGTAGCAACTACATTGGAAGGACAGAAAGAAGGGCTTCTACCCGGTTTTTTGAACATGTTCTAAGAAATTTATGCCTGAAAGGAAGCAGATATTTATAAAGTGTAATTACCAGGCATCCTGTGAACACCGGGGATTTCGTCGAGATTGCAAATCATTCAAATTACTAAATATACAAAGGATATCAAATTTACTATGATTTGCTAAGACGATTGCGACCAAATATTTCAGACTAAAATTGTGTATACAGAAAGAAAGTGCAGTCAGTTCTTCACTCCCTTGGTAACAGCATCTTGGTAGTAACCAGTCATCCGTAGCACTGAATTCGGTTCACTAAGCAAATTTCAATCTTATGAACTATCAACTTCTTGAGTTGCTATCTAAACTTTAAGCTAGCACTGTTTATTAAATTTCTTTTTCTGTCTTCTCTAATCCCCCCCCCCCATCTTCCTTGTTTCCCGCTTCGAAAGGTACATTAAATGACAGTGGCTTAAACTCGAAATTTTAATGCTTGCATTTCGGATGTATTAAATTTGTACAACATCTTCCCTACTACCCTTCAAACATTGAAGTCACTTTCATTCTTTTATAACCTTGTGTAATTTCACGTTGTCTGCAGGTGATGCTCTAATCAGCGAAATAGAATGACTTCATTCTACAATGCGAATCTGGTCTTTCCTGCTTTATCGAAATCTGCTAAGGGAACCATGTGTATGAAACACAAATGACTTTTTTTTAACTTAGTTTGCTTTTCCCCTTGATGATAAGATTACCTTAGACCCTAATATTCAGTCTCGGCTAACATATCAGCTCCTAGTACAAATGCTTCGACTATGTCTAAGGATAAACGTGAAGTTATTTTGGTCGATAATGACTGGCAGTGGAACTCAGGGTGTACATTTCATCTGATTTGGAACTTGCCAGCTAGATGTACCCACATTCCCAATCTCAACAAAGACCAAGCATTTCGGTCTAATACAATCATTCAAGACGAAATACAAATTAACCTAAGAACAAATAATAACTGATGATCATTGCACAAGAGGTAGCTCTTGTGGCCCTCGTGGCCGAGTGAGTAATGGCTTGGTGTTTGAAACGATGGAAGCAGGGTTCGAGTCTCAACTGGAACACTATTAGCTACTGGAAATGCAGATTCACTCAGTTGGTGAATCCCAGACAGAAAGAATTCCATTGCTAGGCACCATCAACTAAAGTAACTACACAACTAACCTGTGATGCAAATAAAATCAACCATACTTTAAATTATGATGATAACAATGAAAATAATAATAGGAGTATAATTATTATTTTATTTAGATAATTAAAATAAACAACTTATGAAAACAAGATTTTAATCTTGAATGCCAATAATTATTCGCCATTGGCTAGTAAAATAAACTACGACTATCACATACTCGGTGAAAAGTAGGTGATTCTTTCTTCTCAGAGGATAGAAAGAAAGTATGTGCATCATTCATTCAGTAACTGGTTCACTTTGTTGGTCGTAAGCATCTGAGTCCACACACACACACAAATTCACGAAAAGACCTACTTCTGAGCACACAAGTAGACAGAAAGTTCCTCAAGTGGAGTAAAATATAATTTAGTCAATGGCTAGACAACTGAACGTTAAAATGTTGACCAATATTGTGGATGGATCACATAAAGTAAAGAAGACTTTAAAACATACAGTATTGCTTTCTAAACAGCTTGTACACCTGAATGACCTGAAGACTTCCCACTTTTACGAACTTCTTTTCGGCAATCATTTCTTGAACCATGACTACTGGATTTTACTTCACTTGGTCCACGTACATCAGTCATACGAATTCTGTCATTTGATGGAACATCTTTATTATTACTTAATGGTCTACTCACTTGTAATCGTTGAGTTTTAGGACGTTTAGATAAAAAAGAACTACGTTTTGTAGAGGTATAAAATACACCAAATTCTTTGACAAAATTCATATCTGGTATTTGACCTTGTGAATCATACATTGTCAATAATCGATGTTGATCAGATCGTGAACTAGTGCTTGTATTCATTTGAGTTGAATCTTTAGGACGACATTTTGAAAGATCAGGACCACGGAAAGTAGTTAAATGTAGCCATGGTACACGTGAAAAGAAGGCATGCCTCATAGCTTCATCAAGTGTTAAGCGTTCTTCTGGATTACGAACTAACATTTTATAAATAAGATCTTCACAATAATTTGATAGATATGCACTTGACTTTGCAGGAAGTACAAGTTTCCATTGATGACTTAAATGATTTTTTGAATCTTTTTCCCATGGCATTGGATCGAATCTAAGCAAACAATAGAATAAGAGAGGGCATAAAATTGGGTTAATTTCCTTATATATATATATATATATATATATATATATATAGCGCCTTTTAGACAAAAGAAACTATTAATTGAAGGTCCTACCTCATGTATAACACAATGTCATGCCTTGTCGTAACTTTGTTTTCTATTTCGCCTTACTATAATTATTTTTTATTTTATTTTTATTACAGCTTGATGCCATACCGTATTTTCAGTACAAGTATGGAATTTTCAGCATGGATATCGGTAGCCCAAATTTTGCAGGCCGACCATAGATATCGGATGTGCGTCGGCAGGGGATCGAACCCCGGACCATGTGCATGGTCGGCGAGAGTCCTAACCACTGTGCCACCGACGCATATAAACCTCAAATACTCCATTGTTTCATGTTCCAAGTAGTTCGCAATGTTTTAGCTATTTTTTTATTTCAATAACACTTCATGTTGGAGTTCAGGTAGGAAGTTACTACACAATGTCCAAGTTAGTCACCCATTTTTTAACAAAGTAAGCTTGATCATTCTCATGAAAAACACAGTATAAAAATAAACAATAATTTGTAAACAGAAGTAACTGACTTACATGCCGTAGCCAAGTATCATCTCAATAATTATATAACCTAATCCCCATGAGTCAATTAATTGATTATTGCATTCTGTGTGATCGTATATTTCTGGAGCTAAATATGCTGCAAAATAATAACGTGTTGGTGGTTGATCAGTAAAATTCTCTGAGTCATTTGTACTCACTTCAATTGATGGTGAATTTGCAATATGTTCAATTGACTTTCTTTTGAAATGAAAACGTTTAGCCATACCAAAATCAACTAATTTTGGTCGTCCACGACTGTCAAGTACAATATTCTCTGCTTTCATATCTCTAATTATCATCAATCAGAATAAAAATAAATAAGAATATAAATATCAGACTAAACTAAGCGTGTAATAATCACCTATAAAATGGGTGATGATTTCAATGTGAAATAAAGACGTGGTTAGCTGCAGAACTCACAATTATTTGTCAGGCACCATTCCGGCTGATAGGATCCAGGATCATCCTTTCTCACGAATTTTGTGATTTATCCTGTGATCAATTCATCATCTTTTGTCTCACCTTGGTCTTTGTTGGATCGTCAGCCAACCAGAATAGCTATTGCCAGTCAGTAAGAACAACCCATTCCCACTGCTATGAGCCAATTTTATTGTGGTAAAGAAAATATATAAATATGATGCGTTGTTTCCTAATAAAATATACAGTACCTTACAGTTTTTTGATATTCGCATAACTTAATTAGGCGGAAGGTACAAAGGATGAGTAGACGTATTGGCGTACCAGTTGAGTTCATTACCGTAGCCGAGAGGATATATCACAAGCTCACCTCTGGTTTGCATCCTACGGAGACCCGGATCTCCAATTCACCCTAAATTATCACCCATTACTTTCACAGTAGTTTGCCAACCCAAGCCATGACATAATTCCACTGTTAATATAACATATGACGACAAATACTTTCTGTTTGTATTTCATGTATTTTGTGCTCTCTCTCTCTCAGCCTCACTTCTTCTTAGTAGAGTTTTGGTTTTAATTTACCTGCCATTTTCAGTCTTCATTGGCGATAGTGAATATGACAGGTAGACAGGTAAAACGAACATAAAACCTTGAATAAATTTTTCTATGGCTGAGGTTCTCACATAGTGTAAAAACATAGAATTCAGCAAGTAACAGGTATAAAAAATATCTGGAGTGCTGGAAGTCACAGTAGGTTATGTTCTCTTCTTTTAGAACATCAGATTAAAATTATGTTTTTTGTTATTATTCTCCCTCACAAATGCCAAAATTCATTCAGAAACAACGAGGAATATTTGTAGATTAGTGTAAAAAGGTCGAAATAGAAAATGTTCTTGGAGTAAGTGTAGTTTGACGGTGTATGAATTTAATTTATAAGTTATTCAGTTAAATCATGTAGCCGGATAGGTCTGAATCGTTTCTGAATTAAAAAATTAAACTCTTCAGTGCTTTTTTCGCAAAGAACCTAGAATTGCAATAGGATAACACTTTTATCAATAAAGAAATTAAGTCAAGTGTATAGAATGCTGAAGAGGTTTCAAGATAATAGAATCAACAAAAATAAATCTAACGCCACAATTCTCAAATTCTTAGCATTTTACTAATAAAAATATCAGCGACCGAATGATCTTGAAGTTTCGATGTTATATAGCTAGCCATCAGTTGTAGAAACGAACTATCTTAGTGGAGACACTGGAGGTGAGACTTTATCTTAAAGTCTCCGCTGTTTCCAGTGTTATGCTGTCCACTGAGCTACATAGGTTAATTGCGAAGCATTAACCATCCAACCCGGAGAAAACAATACTTAAAATATCCACCTAAGCTAGAAGTATTCTCCATTAGTTCAAAGTCACCAGTGTGTTTACAACATATTATTATTATCAAGGGTTGATTTGTAGGGATTTGATTTATTTTTCAAGTTTGACCGCGGATTGATATCAGTTAGAAAACCAGTGAAAATCAGGGAGTACTTGACAGCTGTTTCATCTCGGTCTGGGACTCATCGGGAGTACGCTGTCCAGTATTCCCTGTTTTTCAATGCTTCTCTAACTGATATCAATCCGTGGTCAAACCTCAAAAACAGATCAAACCCCTACAAACCAACTCTTGAAAATTAATCTGATGTTTTCTGGTGACTGGCTACTGGACGAAGTTGCCTGGAGTTCTATTGAGAAGTCGTGACCAATGGAGTCCATCTTGTAGAAAGTGAAGACAAATACTCACCACGGATGACATTGGCTGGTGCCAGTTGCGCTAAAATTACAAATTGGTACGAGCTAGAATTCGTCGGCCATTGAGTGGGGTCCCAGTTGTTGAATGGGGTACTAGCTGGCCTTGTAACTCATAGGTCTTGGGTTCGAAGCCCGGTGGGTGCGTACTGCGGATGAATCCGAAACTAGGATGAGGCAGCCGTCCAGTACACCTTGGTTTTCTATGGTCTTCCAACTGATATCAGTCTGTGGTCAATCTTGAAAAGCAATATATATATATATATATATATATTCAAACGATTTGGTACCATTAAACAATGGAAGAACATGTTTCGCATATTTCAGCAAATATAAAATTAATATAATAACTAACCGATAGACAATCTGCTTAGAATGCAAATACTGTAATGCAGATAATACACACGAAGCATAGTATAAAGCATAACACTCTGGCATTGTACCATATTTAGCAATATGATTCCATAGGCAACCACCGTCTAACCATTCTAATGCCATAAATAAGGCATCTTCTGTTTCATACACATGATATAATCTAAAAATAGTTGTTGGTGAAAGGAAAGTTTTAAGAAATGAACGATTTTTAAGTAAAAAAAATATTGCTTATTAAACTTTATATATGTCTAATAAGATTTTAGCTATGGATAGTAGGATTACAGAAGGGTATTTAAATATTGACAGGAACTCTCATTTAGAATAGAAATTATTATATGAAGAAAACATATAGTGAGATATCAGAAGAAATGTGTTATTAGAAAGCACTTAACCTAGATTTCGTACCTGTGAATAATCACTAGTAGCAAGGAGTACTTGCTGCTGGCATAGGAGATTTGTGCTGCCCTTGAAATTCAAACTTCTACCATACAATATCGATGTTACTGACTTCACTGCTATTGTGTCAAGTGCTACTGATAAGATTTATCAGCAGTATATAAAGAGACGTTCATTGGCATAAAAACATAAGAAATCAAGTATATATTCATTTGATGTCAGAGAAGGCAAATGGTACAGCGTTGTGGAGATACATAGAAAAAGGTGAAAGGATCACAAAGAAACACAATATGAAGGCCGGAAGTACCACAACACGAAGGTCTGTGCAAATTGTGCGTTGAAGATACACAGATACCCAAACCAAGACATCTAGACCATGCATCCGACATATTGTGGGAGTGTATGGTAGCATAAAATCAAGTTTCATTGATACATTTAACCTCAGTTACTTTGAATGACATAGATGAACAATAAATGCACTTATAAGCTGATGAATGACAATCTACATGTTGATTCTCTAAAAAATTATTTAAGAATAACTAGTTTTTCTATTTATTTGCAACTTTAAGTAATTTTATCTGTTTACAGTACACCACTGTCTCATCTAACACATACAGATAACCACCAATACTCGACAAAGTTCTTCATTTCTAATAGCCATCTGGGATCTAAGGAGCGTGATTACCACCAAGTCATGTTCAAATTATGGTTGTGATAATAACGACACTTCTGATTTCTGAGAATCTTTAATGACTGTGCACTGTGATGATTAGCCTAGAATATCTCTTACATATTTTTGTAACAAATAAATAAATTCAAATGGAAAGTGAATTTCGACATTATAAAGAAGCTTAAAATAGTCATCTGTTATTGCGCTTTGTAAGTGTATAGAGAGTAAAGTGGTCAGTGTCGAAACTGAATCCACCTCAAAAAGAGTAGCTCTGGAGAAGGTGGTTATCTTCAGTCAACTTAATTAATATGTAACTCAAGGTGTATTGGACTTTTGAAAGTGAAGACTTCAAACGATAAAATTATAAAATAAGTTACATTTTGTGATCATTCCTGATGTCCACATCACATGTACTTAATCTCCTAATGCATTAAACAAAATTCAGTATTCACTACTCAACTTCTTATCAGGCGTCCAGTTTAAATCACTGGGCTACCAAATTTTTTCCATCCATTAAATACATCATTTAAACAATCCAATTACTTCGATGAATCACGACCTGCTTCCACACACACACACACATTTTCAAAAAGGTTTCAACACTGTGCTGTGAACTTTTAGAAGGAAATGGAGGAAAAACTTTGCGGAGTAATGGAGCATACTTCTGATGAAACAATATTACTTCAAATGATGTATTATCGGATTTTAAATCATTTGACGATATCTCACAAGGAGTAAATACCTT